AGTGAGAAAACAGTATTTCCTGTATTGAGCTGTGGTAAGGATTAAAGAGCTAATAAATACAGAGTACTGAGAACAGCATGTGGCTCATATTAAGTGTTCAATGAACAACTGTATTATTTCTACATATGCCTGGTCACTAGTCCAGGGTGGGGAACCTGCAGGGCCCTTGGGGAAGGATGGACCACCTTCATAGCAGGAAGGCTGGTGGAAGAACAGCATCCTGTTGTAGAGAGATCACTGACCAAATGCGACATCAGAGCTGGGTGGCTTGAAGTGTTGACTGAGAGATGGGGTGCAGACCTTAACGCTTGGATACTGGACGGCAGGAGCAAGGCTGGTAAACGGTGCAGATCAGTCTTCAAAAATATGAAGAGTATATCTGGTTCCAGAGATGTACTGCCATTTAGGGTATAGGCTGCGAAAATGTGTTAAACTATGTGTTTACATACTGAAAGAAGAGAGTGAGCCTTGCATTTCTGCCCTTGTATTTCTCTTTCAGCCTATTTCTTAATTGTACAGCTTCTATTAGTTTTGTGTCTATTGTAATTCTGGGGTATTTAATTTAAAGAAAAAATAATCAGAATTTCACCATTAATGGCAGTTGACCCATAGTTTTAAGTACTAATGCCCTGACCTCAAATAAAATAGGTATTTCCATAGCTAAGATTCATACTTAACTATTAACAGTAGATGAAAAAAGGAAGAGCCACTTTTTATTCAGATTCTGGGACAAGAACTTATAAGAAATGTTAAACTGGATCATGCCAATGGCTCATACAACCACCAGAGTGTCTGGTCTTTGACAGTCACTCCCGAGGAATTTTTCTAATGAATCTGATAATTGTCCCTGTTGATGTCAGTCTGAGCTTGAGATGTCCAAGCACCCGCTCTTTAGTTCAGTGTCATACATTCTTTCCTCTGTCTCTTCATTTCTAAATGGAGCTGTTCAAATAACTTGTAACCTCACCAATTTTCTCCAATAGAAAGAAAGCCATGAAAGAAACTTGTTTGGCACTAAACTCAATAAATATCAAGGTGTAAATGGCACTTAGATATAATCATGTACTTTTGCTCAGACCAAGTACATTCAGGACATGAATCCTCTGTTCAGCAGCTATTATTAAAGTAACTGCCAATTTGACAAAATAACTTTTAAAAATGTCACAAATGACTCAAGAATTTTAGGAGATGGATTTTATTATTTACTAGGAAGATGCTAGAGGTCAAAATAATATGCTTTCTATTCTATTCCACACACACATATATATAATAATAAAACTTTTAAAATGATATTTGCCAATAAAGGTCTTCAAGAAATTTATAGATTTTTGCTGAAATCTTTTGCCAATGATTTTCAGAGATAACCACTTATGCTGATGATAACATAAAAATGATGACTTTTCCAGAGCCCTATTTGCTTTCTAAGCACTTGAACATATATGACCTCATTTTAACTTTATAAATAACCTTATGGAATATAAGATATACATATAGGATATGTTGAATCTGATATCAGGTTTCCATTTGGCAAGTAAAAGAACATGTACACAGAAGCTAAGAATTCTTCAAAGTCACAAAGCTGATTAACAGTGGGGCCAGAGAATGGGATTGTTGTCACTTTCTCCAATTCAGTATATTAGACAATAATTCCTAGATGTTGTGGCTAAGCAGGGCTTCCCTGATAGCTCAGTTGGTAAAGAATCTTCCTGCAATGCAGGAGATCCCGATTTTAAAAAACATTTCAAAGGGCCCGACAGGGTTGCCAATTTTGTTCATTTTCCAGGTAGAGAAAAAAAAAAAAAAATATATATATATATATATATGACTTCTACCTACTATTTCTATCACACCATAAAACTATCCTTTATTTTATCACCCCAAATAGGAAAAACATGATCTGAGAAAATCTGTAGTTCTTTAATAACATTTGTTTGTAAGAAAATCACTAATTTTTACTTTTTCCCCTTCATTTTACTACGGACTGATGAAAACTCTTGTTATGATCTAGGACCAGTTCTCAAACCAATACTTGCAAATCATTAAGCTCTTTTGTACTGTTTCAAAAGTCATCATAGCTCTTCCATAACTATGCCTTGTTGCATTTCACAGTCTTTTAGAAGAAGAAACCAGTAAGTGCTAAGTTCTCCCTTTTGAAAGATACTCTTCTTCAACTGATACTATAACAAAATGATCAGTATAGTAAATTTACATTATAATCAAAACACAGAGCTGTTGATTGACTGGACATGACCAGGCTGAGGGTTGGCAGTGAAGCAACAACTGTAGAAGCAACATGGAAACCACCATAATTACTTTCCCCACCCCCCATAAGACAGTGAGAAGGGCAGGAAAAATGTTTTGTGCCTCCTTTCTCATTTCTTCATCCACTTGCACGTTCATCCAAGGAAATGAATTATCATGATGACTTCGGTCTCGGTGTGTGCCATGTATGTGTTTAACTCCACAAAGCCCGCCCTGACCCCTCCTCCGAGACTTGGTTTTACAGTTTCTAAGAAGCTCCCAAATGTCTACTTTTATGAAACTTCATAGTTAACTTGGGACTTCCCTGGTGGCTCACACAATAAGGAATCTGCCTGTAACGCAGGGGACCCTCAGACAACGAAGACTCTGGGCTGGGCAGTCCTGGAGAAGGGAATTGGCTACTCCCTCCAGTATTCTTGCCTGGAGAATTCCATGGACAGAGGAGCCTGGTGGGCTACAGTCCATGGGAGTTGCAAAGAGGTGGATATAACTAAGCAACTTTTACACACACACACACACAGACATAAACAGTTAATTTACCACTGTATTCTACTAAAAAATCCAAGGGCATTGAGGTTGGTTTGCAGGACAGTCTTAAAAGTGGCATTTTTCATGCTGGCTATATTGATAGTTTAATGTTACAGCACTCACCAAAAGGAGTTAACTATCAAATCTCAATCTTATAACCTTGATCAATGCATGCCCCTCCAGTATCTGTGACCTTCTTTGTCACATATTTGGGAGGGAGCTACATGAAAGGTGTTGTGGGAGAGAAAAGGCAGTCCAATCAGTCAAATCAAGCTCTGTGATCAGTGTCATAGCAAGAACATCCCCAACCCAACCTAGTCCTGTCTGGAAAGAGGCTCACCAATAGGATGCTTTGACAAAGAAGGTCCCTTAATGTTCAACAGGTATAGTGACACATTCTCCTTTCTAGAAACTCCTTTAATACAAATTTTGATCAAATAACTTTTTTCTATGAAAGGTAAATGCCTATATATCATCAAATGACCACACATTACTAATAACAGTTATATAGTGTTTTATGGTGTATAACACATTTTAACTTATGCCATCATTTCTTAGGAATATTCTGAGACAGGCAATATAATTTCCCTTCTATTGAAGAAGAAACAGACTCAGAGAGGTTATGTGATTTGCTTGTGTTTGGTTGCTCAGTCGTGTCTAACCCTTTGCGACCCCATGGACTATAGTGCGCCAGGCTCCTCTGTCCCTGGGATTTTTCAAGCAAGAATACTGGCTGGGGTTGCCATTTCCTCCTCCAGGAGATCTTCCCAACCCAGGAATTGTAATCATATCTCCTGGCTCTCCTGCACTGGCAGGCGGATTCTCTGCCACTGAGCCACCTGGGAAGCCCATGACTTGCTTAAGGTCACACAAACAAAAGCTTGAACCCAAGGCTGGTCCTTTGACCGCATGTTCAGGGCACTTCTCATTATTAGCATTCTTTGCAAAGACAGTCGAGTCACTTCTTAAGGTAAGCCCAAGGACTAAAAGAATAAATGAAAACTGGCTTTTATTCCAATCAGGGCAGAGAGCCAATCTATCAGTAACCTCAGAAAGAAGGACTGCCCATACTATTAAAAAATCCAGGAAAGTTGATGGTTTTCTTCAGTTTTCTCACCATTACTATAATGCCAATATCATTTGTGTTCATTCTATCTGATTTCTTAGAATTCATCATGTAAGTAAGCCAATATAACATAGCCATGAATTAGGAGCAAGGGAGACCACTGGCCATTCATAAAAGAAATCATTTGGAATCATTTTCATTATACTTGCTCTTATAAAATGAATATTTTTTTGTAACACTAAACTTTAAAAAAATCAATGGAAATGTTGTCAACCTCCTATTTTTGTTGTTCATATACTGGGCAAGAGCTACCCAAAAATACATAAAATAGATCCTATATAATCTATACTTTGCAAATAGCTAAATAACAAGAGACTGCTAAGTTTAAAGAGGTTAATGGATATTTACTTAATAGGTAAAAATAAACATTCATTACATGAAGCATTAATAATGTAAAAGCATGTCTATTTTAAGTAAACTCATCCCAGAAGCCAAATTAGGGCTGTGTTTTCTGAAATTAATAACTAGCGTTAATTCAAACCAAAAGTATGGACAGTATTAACTAACACTTATAGTACCATTATCATGACTTTCTTTTTCTCCATATCTGATTACAGGCTTTGCTCATGATTTGGAAGAACAATAAAAACAGGACCATTAGGAATCATTTCCTAATGACTTCCTAATCATTTCCACTGGGACAAACAAGTACTGTAAACTTGATGTTGGTACTACTTTGCCCCTAGTTCACATCATTTAGACTGATTAAAATGTTAATTTTTACATATGTGAATAATCGCAAAGGAGCAAACAACTGGAGACAGCACTATGTGCTAGCAATCATTGCGGGTGGGTAAACTGACAACATGTAACCGCATATTAAGACAAATGTAGAATTTAGACAAAGTATTCCATCTCTTTTCAGATGTATACTTTTAAACCTCAGGAACTGTTTTCAGTAGATGTCATGCCTTTTAACTTGAAAAAAGATAAGCGCAAATAAGCTCCCAATTGTCTCCCCAATATGTAAACCACATCTCGGGCTGCTGTCTCTGCTACTCCTTTGAAGTTTCCCTGAAATGTCATGTGTTGTGAAGACTGCTGTGCATAAGCAAGACAATTTGCTCACTCTCAGAATCCTTACCGGTTTCCACTGCTATTTGGTACCCAGCCTCTAGTCTCCGAGATGACCTTTCCAGCCTCTCTGTGTTATCGAGCAGATGTGCCCTCTGAAAAAGAAAAGGGGGAAAAAATCAGACGACCGTCTACAATGTTCTTTTTTTTTGCCTTAAAAAAATAATGCCATTGTATGCCCTAACATTTCAGGGGGAGGGTGGATCACAACCTATTACAGATAATTTTTAGCAAATCTTTCTTTATACAAACCACTACAATGAACCGATTTTCAATCAATCAATTGTGTATGGACCATCCATTTTTTGTTTTGTTTTGTTTTAAAAGGCAGACTCATGTTGTACGTGGCCACAATGAATCTTGCTCCAAAACACTGAGAAATGTATGAAGACCAGAACCAACTGGATCTTTCCTGTTGCAGCAGAAGTAGCTTTATGAGTTATTTGCATGGATCAATGATCCCTATTTTGTATTTATTTTTTATAAAATGCAATCATGAAAAAAAATTCACTAGTTCCTTTGATTCCTAAAGAAATTTTAAATGAAAATTTTATTCTTAAAGAATGCCCCTTAATTTTTCATGTGCAGCAAGATGCCATATAGAACAACATATGCTACTAAAACAGAATACTAAACAGCAATTCTAGTTCTAAGACCACTCAGGGCAACCACTAAGAAACAAGAGACACATGTTCCCTTGTGCACACAGATGTACAAAATTGTGGATTTACTCCCAAATATTCCCAGATATATGGCACTATACTGAAAGTGAATTTCTAACACAGAGTTTTAGACTAAGAACTAAAATGATAATATACATTATTTTATATTATGTCTGATGGGGGAAATTAGAAGATTTTTCCCAAATCCTCAGCTTCTAAACTTTCTTTTCTACATTGAGGCTGATCTTTTTAAGCATAACAATCATACTCTAGATCATATTCAGACTGACAAATACATTTATAAGCTAATAATGGCTGTGAATGGATAGCAATATGTGCATGCCCTTGGGAGTGTGTGTTTGTGTGTGTGTGTGTGTGTCCATATGTGTGTACTGATGCATGTATGTCTGGATACTTAAAAATACTAAAATATGTGTAACTATATATTTGGGCATGTGTACATGCACTCATGTATTTGTATAAATTAGACCTTACCCCATCAAATCAGTTTTGGTATCTGGTCAAAAAGAAAGAAAAAAATGCAACCATAACTCCAACTTTGTGTTGTTGACAGATGTCATTTAAAATCGAAGAAATGCTTTCTAATAATAAAAAAAAAAGGAGGTGCCACACATATTATCTGAGTGGCTGTCGAGCGAAACGATCCACCTTGCTCTAATGAGCCCCCATGGATCTTGGAGATGCAAGCTGTATTGACATGCACACTTAAGCTAATACACCTAGACCAGTGCCTCCAAGCTCTAGCAGCCAGGGATGCTGACAGAATATCTCGCTTCCATCTTCAAAGAAAGGAAGTGATTAGTATGTTATCATTACCATTCAAAACGTGATTTCCTTATTCCCTCCCGGCATAGGTGACACATCTGAGATGCGGCCAGACGTTGGAGGCAGCTAAAGCCACATCAAAGCTTTCCTTGAAAAATTTTTTTTTGGGGGGGGGGTAGTGCTGGGGGAAGTGGGGGGAAGAATCATTAAAACAATGCATTTAGAACAGAGAGATAGGACCTGATGTGAAGGTCAGGAAAGCTGCAACAACAGTCTATAGTAATTAATAGAGTCATCTACTATACAGTGGAGAAATTAAGAGAAAAACTGCCCCTCCCTCTGCCAAAAAAAAAAAAAGCACTAAATAAATAAAAGGGAGGAAGGAAAGCATATATCATAAAAATGCAAAATCACTAAAGTCTGTAATTGAGAAAAGGAAAAGCAAGGGGAGCTTTATGTGTTTGGCATTAATTACTATTTTTAAATAAATTTAACACTTTACTCAGCTTGTCAAAAATTAGGAATAGGAAAAGCTTTCTTATTCCTAATTCTCACTACACGAAGGTTTTGGGAGTGGGAATTGCTCCTCCCTTCTTTGAATATTGTTTTCTAACTTAACAAAGGACTTGATTTTTCAAATCGGTGATTCTCTAAAAAAAGATATCAGAATTATGGCATCAAGAATAAATGTGACTTTTAATCCAGAATTCAGATCAAAGATTTTGGTTCATTTTCATATTGGGTGAAATTCCTAAACTAAAAGAAAATATTTAGCTACTGCAGATTTAAAGAAATCAAAGTTCAATACTGAAAATGGAGAGTTTAATTACACAATAATAAAAACGTAGGAAACAAAGTATTTAAACATAGAATCACTTCTGAGATTCTATCAATGGGAGCCAAATTAGCTTATCCAGTATATGGCTTTGTAATGGAAAGTGAAACTGCTGAGAGAACTTTTTTATTAAAAAAAAAAAAAAAAAGGTCTATTCCTAAATAATGTCAGTAACTCTTCTGCAGGACAGTTCAATTTTATCAGAGTAAATCTGCACACAAGAGGACTATCAGTTTACCAGCAGCTTTCCAGCAGGACCTCACTTTGTATTTTGGAACCTCTTCACTTAAGTCAAGCTAAAATCAAGTTCTTGTAACAGCTGTGCTATTTACATTGTTCCCTTAGTTGTACATTGCCCTGGTCTCTGAAAATGAAAGGAAATACAGTACAGTAGCAGCTGATGCTTTCAACTTGCCCCCACACTCCATCCCAAACTCATTCTCTCACCCTCTTCTCAGCCCTTTTCAAAGCAGGTAAGTGAAGCTGTGCTGGAGCTTCAGACACAGCTCAACCTGTGTGAGGAGCTGCGCAACGTGGAGCGCTGGAGATGCAGGATTCAAACAGAGAGCTCGGCACAGCCAACACCGGCTCAGCTCCTTGGGCGTTATCAGCCTGATTCCGAGCAGGCTCTCTTTTCCAGAAGGAGCCCAAAAAGAGAGGTCCCAAAAAGAACATCTTGAGGACTGAATGGGGCATACTTTGTTTCCAAATAGTATGAAACATTCTATTTTGAAGCAGAGGAGTGTTTGTCTTCTTAGGATAGCTACAAGGAGGAAATCAGTGTTTGATTATTCTGAGCATCCTGCCTTAGAAACAATGACTTCGGAGCAGACCATATACCAATAGTGTCATCATTGTAACCTACCCTATACATATCAATGCTGCATCCATATCAAAGACTGTTAAGAGAATACTTCAGAGTACATTATTCTGTTAGTTGAGTGATCTAATTCTTCCAAGTACAATTCCATTTCGGGTTATAGTGTTGGTAACATGCATTCCAGAAGCATAACTGATAAAACTGTTGCTATAGGCACAGCAAAGGAATTAAAAGCCATAAAATAATGATGAAACGTATTTTAAAAGAACTGCAGATGTGATGTTTTCAGCTTACAGAATTAAGATTTCTAAGTCCACACAATTCAGCTTAAAACTAAATCTTCTGTCAATGATGCTGACGGTACTAAGACACAAGGGCTTATTAATTATATTCATTGCTAAATTCAGGGCCAAGAGCTTCATGTAGTTTCTTCATAGTCTATAGTTGGACGCATTAATATTTGAAAATTCAAATTCTTCACCTAAGTCTGAGCATATGCAAATACATACAAGAAGACTGTCTTGCAGAAGAATAATGTTGACATATCACTCACCTCAAGAATAATCTTATACATCAAAACTATGATTTATAATATTCATTTAATATATACATCTGCTTCCATGCAGGGAAGATAAAAAAAAACACAAAAAGGTTGGAGGGTGAGGGTTTTGTGTATTTTCACCCTTCTTTTTATATATCATTATTACTTTTACTGAGAAGACATCATGAATGCATCTTAAATCAGAAGAGTTGTTGAAAACCACTCTCTACAAACCTCTAAATTAGCATTCATATCACCTAGAGAATGATGACATACCAATTAAAAATAAAAAAATTTCCAGGAAAAAATCACAAACAACACAGTCAACCTAAAGTTGAAAATAATTCACAGAACTCTGCTTATTATAAGCAATTAGACAATTTTTAAATTGTAATATAGGTCATTATTTTATGTCCTAATGTAAAAGTAACTAAATTCAATCTCACTAAGGAAAAACTATGACTACTCTATTTCTGAAAAGAGTAGCAGAGTATATTTGATAAGTATGGTCTAATTTAAAAAAATATTTAGAATCATTTGGCATCCCTCATGCATACAGGGATAAAATTATCAACGTTGTTATAAACATTTGCTGGGCCACAAAAAAAGTCTGGAGCTGTATTATGAAGCAGGCTAGCAAACTCAGAAAAATGAGAACTCACTTGGGTGCTATTTCCTACAAAAAAGAAAGTGTTTAACAGTGAGGAGAGGCTTGGCTATTCTTAGGTATCTGTGTACATAGACTAGTAGAGTATAACATATGTGTGTTTCCCCAAAAGGATAATAGGCTCATGGTATCTAATGTTAAACTAAGAATTTTGGTTGAAGGAAAGAAGTTAGTTTAAAAACAGTTTTCAGTAAATTCAGAATGTCAGAAAAAAAATTAATCCTGTTGACTTCTTTGAGAAACCAATGCAAACAAAACAAAACTGAAGTCAGTCTACATGAAAACTACACTTGGGTATGGCTTCAAGCTATTCCTTTCTTTTTCCTCCCTTTTTTGGTCTTTAAAATATGAATTTTCTTCCAAAGCAAGAAAACAACAATGATCACTGTGATAAGCATGATTAGAGTGTATTTGGTATTTTTTTTAAAGATAGCAGAGAACATTTCTAGCAATATAATCAATGCTTTTAATATGCGCAGATTTTCCTGGAAAAATGAACCCAATGGTTTTACTTCAGATAGGGAAAAGCAGAATTAAAAAAAAAAAAAGAAGCAAGCTAGGAAGTACTCACCTCTTCACGTAATTTTATCAACTGCAACATGAATGCACAAAAAAAAAAAAAAAAGATAAAAAGGAAAGAAATGGCAGGAAAGAAAGATCAGTTGTGTGACAGGATACAGAATTAACATTGACAATTTATCTGTTTACATGTTTAGCATTTAAAAATCACAGACAAACACATTAAAAGAACCTAAACATAGACTACATGCAGAGTTTTTTGAACGAATAAAGATCACTTTCTCACACTGTCACATTAAACAAAGAGAATAGTGTGAAATTCTCTTTTAAAGTACATCTAAGACACCATCATGAAATAAAGGGGAACGACTTCATAGAAGTCTATATTATAAAGAAAGAAAACAAGTTTACTGTTCCTCTCTTCTAAGAATGAACCACTGAAGAGGTTTTGTATATACAAGTTTTCAGAATGTTTCTCTATTTTGAATCTTGACAACTGCTTTCAGATTTTTACCTCCAAATGAAAATGATTAATAGCTCATGCATTTGTCCCAGTAAGTATTTTAAAACAACAAACTGGTATGTTAAACTCATACTTGTAACCATTCTAGTAACAGGATCACCTTTGGAAGTAAGATTATTTTAATTGGGAATAAAGCATGCCAGGAGAGATAATATTTAGGACATAAAATCAGAAAATATTTCCCAATCCTTATCAATACTGTGTATATCAGAGTTGATTTCCGGGGTTTTGTTTTGCTGAAGAGGCTACTATAATCACAAGGTGTTTTAATTTTAATTTTTGAAGTTTCTTCACTTATCAGTTTTCTTGATCTTGTAAACCACGTCATTTCAAAGCAATGAACTCTCCAACTTCATTTGTACTGCAATTTGTTTTCAACAAAGTCAAACCTCAAGCCACTCTTTACCTGTTAGCAAACTCTTTTGTGATAACATTTTGATTTTTCTCTGTAGAATATTTAATTGTCTTAAATTTTACAGATAAAACAAGTTGTTTTACTCTTTAGAAACTAGAAGATGGATATAACCATATGTCTGGTTCCCTGTGTGTATGTGATAGTACTGTATTCTAACCCCCAAATATTGGAGAGTTGAGGTGTTTTCCAGTTTCTACAATGAATAGAAACGAAACCTATGTTGTATGAGACTATAAACCATATTCTAGGTCTGAAACTTACATCCTCAGCAATTCAGGTCTACAACTGATAATTTTTAAGCATCCAAATATCTGTAACATCTGTTATAACACTTGACATAAGCAGGCCAATAAATTAAACTATTGCTTTGGGAAAAACGTGCCATGAACTGCTCACTATAAGTCTTTCTAAAAGTATCATGTTTACTATAGCCCAGATTTCTCAAAGCTTAAAGCTATTTTTGTCTCCAATTCAAGGAAAACCATATGCATTCCAGCCTAGTCTGTTATTTCATTTGTTATTTGAAAAGTATTTCAAGTACAAAAGAATGAGATTTCAAACCAGTTATGAATCTTAAAAAAAAGGCACAGAATCTATTACATAAGGTCTCACACTGCATTTAGTGAAAAAGAAAGTTTTTCTACCTTTCAAAAATACATATGAAGTTGTTATTACTTGTAATTAATACAATCATTATCTCAGCAACCACTGAGTGGGTAAGTCAATCATCTCATCATTTCACGGGAAAAGTTACAATTCTTCCCTAGAAGAAGCAAAATTCTAAACTAAAATACCTGGCCTATCATATATTGGAATCTTTCTCTTTGCTATCGGAACATCATGGGAGAAAAAGGGCAAACATTAATTCTCAGAGAAAGCTGATCTGGGATTGATCGCACGGCTATTTTTTTTCTTTTTTCTTTCTGGGGGCACCATTCTTCAGCTGACTATGATACTTAAAGGGCCAAAGTTTAAAACTACTCCTCAGCAATGGAGACCATTTGGGCATGCCACCCTGCCATAATCAATGAGTGTTTAAAAATGCTACCCATTTGTTTTTTCAATAGGTTCCAAACAAAAAACGTTCTATCTTGTTTGTGCTGCATGGCTGCATCCAAGCTTTACACCGGATTTGTAGCTAAGCTAGGTAATGGGAGGGTTTTAATCTTTATCTTTTTCTTCTTCTTCTTTTTTTTTTAGTTAGTCTGAGAGTTTTCACTCAAGTAAACAAAAGATGGCCTGTTTTTGAAAATTAACAATGCTTAGACTAGACCGAAAGTAGTGATTTCGTATTTTTTCGATTCGCATTTTATCGAGTTTCTAGCTCCGTCACAGGCGACATGAAAGTGTGCCGCCACCATGTTGAGTTATGATAATCAACATCTTTTTGAAACAAAGATTTCTGCACAACTGCCCCCCCACCCCCCCCAAGCAGAATTTGATACAAGAGGTAATCTGTTCCTTTGTGGGCTGAAAAAATCTGGTTTACGCTGGTTTGAACCAGTGGAATCTCTTGTGGTTAAGCCTTCTGCTGTGACTAAAATCAAAACTGCACTGCAGAGCATGTGAGGGTTCGTGCGCGCGCGCCTCTGTGTGAGGGGCGTCACGTGACCCCCAGAACTACCGAATTTTTTTTTTTAAAGCTGATAACGCGACTGCCGTCTCTGTCCGCATATAGATAACGAATAAATGCTGAACTCTATTAAACGCCCTTTACACATTATCGTGGGTCGAACACACAATTTTCTGAACTTATGATGACAGTCTATTTATTTTGCTATAAACCCTCAGCACGTAACGAACAGATTTGTGCCTGGTAATGATCTGCTCTGCCAGGGCTATATGAAATGATACCGACCTTCTTTAGATCTTCGGGAATTAAATTGACCGACTTCACCCCCTGGTCTGTAGCTGAAGTTTAACACACTTTATGCACAGCAAGCCCAAATCGGAACTTAAGAGAACATCGCATTAAAAAATTAAGCAAATCATATCTGCTGAATATTGCTTTACCACAAAAAGTTCCTCACGTTTAGACAAACCCTACTCTTTATATATTTTTTTGAACCTCCTATCTGGGATTTACTCAAATTTCTTTTACTCAGGTTCATTCACTGATCAATATAATTTTGCATATGGAAACTGAGATACTATTAGCTTTCAGATGTGGAGCTTGGAACATTTGTCCCATTACCATACTCTCCTGTGAAGGGGATTTAATTTCTGTATGAATTTTTTTTTTCCCTTTCCTAAGAATCGTTTTCATGAAACTAAATCAAGTTAACAATTATTAAATTTTCCACTTGAAATACAGCATCACTACATTTCAAGAACAAGCTCTTTGAAAATATTAAGATGCTGTCATATGCAATGGAAAATTTGATTTGTTAAAAGAACAGAATGATAATGCCCAAGACAACTAACAGTTCACAGAAAGACCCAACAATATTTGAATGTGCCAAATAGGTAATTTTGCCTCTTCTCTGTAAATCAAGGATGAGCTACACTTGACTGCATGAAATGGATGTAATAGAAATGACTTTATACAAAGCAATTAATTTGGAATTAAATAAAAATATGTACTGTATGTAGAACATTAAAAATGCATTTGAAAATTCTTAATTTTTGAAATTATAACAATTCTAATCATGGCAAAATGTTTACATATATAAGAGTAAATTAATATACTGTATAGTTAATTGGAAGAGCATAATTATGTGTATCAACAGCCAAGTGTTAGATGCCTAAAAAAATGGATTATGAATTGGCAGACTGAGAAATAAGAACTAAGGCATTCATATTTGTCTAAATCTACAAAGTCACTATAAGGAAGATGTGGACATCACATTGAAAGTAACTAAACAGATAGCACTTAGTTCATTTGTCTATTTATAACCTTTGTTATTAATTACTTATCCTTTTTTTCTGACCTATTCTTTAAAAAAACTGAGATATATCCCAATTTTAGTTAAACAAATATTGCCACCTTTGGTCTCATTTTTTACCTCTAAGTTCTCCCTGTATTTTTTAAAATTTACCATAAATATGACATGGCCAAGAAGTTCTGAAAAATCAATTTCTCAATAATTAGGTTGAAAATAAACTTATCTGTGTGCAGAAAATATTTTCTTCTTTAATTTACTAGGTGAGCTTCTCTAATTTAGTGGCGTGGTGATCCTAGCCAGAAAAAGCTATCTTCTCAGCCACTGAGCTACAAAAATTAAAATGAAAAGCCAAATCTTTTTTTCCTTTAAAGAAAAATTTCTGTTTTGATTTCATAGTCTGAATGAATACTGATGCAGAATAGTTACTCTCAAGTGACCATCCCAAGTTAAGGATGTGTTCTATAGTTTTAGGGATTTTAATTCCTATATTATGACAAAGAGCCTCAAAACAAAACATAAAGGCTTCATTATGATATGGAAATTGTGCTACTTTGCTAACAAAATATCCTAAAAGTTATGTGTCATCTCTTTGAACTTTCAAATTTTAGACTGAAAAGTTCACATAAGTAATAATCTAACAGTTCCACAGTCTCATGACTATAATTTATCACACTCTATTTATTGAAGTGACAGCTCCTTACAACTAAACTTCAGGCTCTCCAAGCATTTTCAGAATTTGTAAGCTTGATTTATACAAGTCCAGGGGAAATCTCTGAGTTATCACTTTAAAGTGACAGGAATATAATTTGAAAAATTCAGAAAATATGAACTCAATCTATTTTTCTGGAATATTTTTCTTTAGGCGTTAAAAAAAAAGTCCTCCTTATATGTTCGTAAGGCAAATGTTCTAGGCACATAAAATGTCCATTAAGAGAAGAGAACATGCTTTAAAAAAAAAAAAAGATCCCTGTCACAGTACTACAGCATCCATTACAATAAAGGAGTTTGAGTTAGAAACACCCTCTTCTCTTCCATTTCCTCTATATTTGGCAGTAGTTTCAAATGAGGTAAAGATCTATAGCTCTTTAAAGAACTGACATGGAGATTCACTTTTTTTTTTTTTAAACACATTCTTTTTTTTTTTTTTTGTAAAAAAAGACAGTGCTTTTATTTGCAGTAAAGATAGAAAATAAAACTATGATTAATTCACTCAAGAGGTATGAGCAATCTAAATCTCACTTAAAATAGGAAAAAAAAATTTTTTGCTCTCATCCTCACACTATTTAATCTATTATGAGTAAAACTCCTTTATCACATCATGCTTTTGTGTTTGATGTGCTCCTTTTTTTTTTTTTTTTTCCCTTAGCTATGCTCACATTTCAATCAGGGAAGCTGAAATCCCAAGTCAAATCTTAACATGTTTACATGTCTGAACTGAAGCTGATAACATCCAACTAGTGGAGGAGCTGAGATCTTTCCAAAAACAAACACAGGACTGCTCAGTGATTCTTCCTTTCTGGGGGTGGGCAGATGGGGGCCTTTTCATCACATGAGCAACAACCCTGTTTACAATATTCACATTTAGGGGATAGTATTATAGTTTCAGCATATATAGATTTACACTCTATTTGCAAGGGTAAACACTATTATGCAATTTTTATAATGCATATAAATTTATTATGTTTTAGTGGCTTATTAAAATGTTGGTTTACCCAATGAATGATTTATGTTCATTTTTATTTAGAGTAGAAGATTCTACTAGACTTGCCAAAGTAACGTTAATAAACACGTTCAGGTCTTGCTTCTGAAGTTCCCTATCATTTATTTTCTTTAAAAGTGTCAAAGAGAATCAGTCACTAGGGCTGTTTGAGACATTTTTAAAAAATCATCTCTACTCTGAGGTTCTTGAAACATTTTTTAAAGTCATATATATTATCTACATGAATTAATGAAATCCGCAGTATTAATTCAAAGAAAGAAGTGGGACACTAATTAGACTCATGACACTACTGTGTGATCGCTGACAGCCAAGTTGCAAGGCCTCTTGAAGAAGAAACCGTGTCTTATTTTTTTGCCTTTGCGGATGTTAACCTGCAAAAAGACTTCTCCCACTACTACTCCTATAACTATTATCATCATCATCATTACCTGACAGGAGCACAACCTCTATGTGAGTGTCCAAGTTCCACGCTGGTGCTTCCAATTTGCATTTTGGTGAATGGATTTTTAAGAAGGTACACAATAGGCGCCTGAGCTGCCCAGTCGAATTTTGAAAGCTTACTTTCATTTGTTTTGCTGTGAGTGTTGATTTAATTATACTGCATTATTATCAAAGCTGCATTATGTACTTTTTTTTATTCCTTTTACATGTGTTGGAGGTGAGGACCTTGGCTTTGTCCACAAACAGTGTGTTTCAAGTTATTCCTTAAGTACTAACTAATAAAGAAAAGAGAAGAAAAGATTTTTTTAAAGATAGCAGACAGTGATCACAAGGTAAAGGGTTAAATGTAAGATCTCCAAGAAACATTTTGAAGTTGATTAAGACTCCAGCTTTGCATTAAACAGTATCGCTTCCACATGAGTTGTCGCTAATACTGTTGCAGAGCAGCTTGAGAGCCCAGTGCGCCCGTGACCTCCTTCACCCTCCAGCCACCCACCGGGCCTTCCTGATTAGCATTCTACCTGGTTCTCGGAGGAATTCCCGTCATCCCCTAGGAGCTCATTCCGTACTTCGTCACTGTAGGCGATCCGTGACCTTTTCTATAAAACAAAACAGAAAGGGAGAGAGCAAGATGAATGTTAGAAAGTAAAGGCTTCCAAGCATTATTGGTATCAAGACTCATCATCTCAAACCTCGAGAGCCCCCTAATGGAAACCTATTTGCTCAAATCTGCAAACCAAAGTTGTGCAAAGTTCTTGAACTTGAGGAGTTTAATGTAAATTAAATAAGTTTTTTCAAATGCCAGTCATGGATAAAAACTCTGCATTGCGTGAGTACTCTATTAATACTGACAAACGGATCAGAACTGATATGTTATTCCATGCAGTCATTCAGATCAGACCACGAAGCTGAAAGAAAATACAGCTATTTTGCTGTATATCTGCCACACTCACCAGATGCAGTTAAAACAAGAGTATATAGAGTTTTTAATACTGAGGCAGGAAATGGACTCTACAATATAGGTCTTTTAAAGTCTCTACTTCTAGGATAATATTATATCTCCAGCTATATACTGGGATGCCTGGCAAATAGCATATCCCCATTTCCTTCATTATTGTGATGTTACTAATCAGAAAGAGATGGAATTTAAAAGCCCATCCTGTTTCCAAACTATAATTTAAATGTCTCCTAGTCCTCTATAAAAATGGCCTAAGGAAACGTAGTGGGAGTGTGTGTGTATGTGTATCTGGTAAAACAAATTTCCCAATCCCAGTAAACAAAGGCAAGTAGGCTATGAGTCAACTTTTCACAATTCCAGTAAATAAAGACAAGTAGGCTATGAATCGATTTTTCACACACTGAAATTTTGTTTTACAAGAAATCTACCTTTACCAGTAAAGTCAGAGGGACATGTCTGCAAGCAATTCATGAATTATCTAAACGTGCACACATTTGGAAAAGCTAAAAAGCTCTGAAAATTAGTTGTGAAGCTAGAGTGCCATCCTCAGATCCTACTTCAACATCACTATTTCCACCCAAATGTGGTTGTACAGGTTACTTTACTGCCTTTTCTGCATCTGAACTAACTGAGTAAAATCAGTCAATTAAAAAATGGCAGCTGGGAAATAGTAATCTTTTCCTATTTCGGGTCTATAGTTTAGGACTTAATATTTCTTACCTGCTCAACTGTGATATGAAAATTTTTTGTAGTTTAAAAGGACTATCCATAATCTGTGAGCAGAATTCAACAAAATTTTTAATTAGATTTTTAAACCAGTGAATAAGTAGCAGAGCTTTGCCACATAGAGATCATAGTATCTTAAACATAAAATCCTACTATATTGGAACTTAAAAGAACTTTCAACAAGGAAAACTAATAGATTTTAAATCATTTTAAAGTTTGCCTTTCTCACTTGGGCTCCCTATCCGAACCCCAAAACACAGAAAATTATTTATGACTATTCCCAATTCTCCCAAAGATGGGATATAAGAGAGAGTTTAGTTCATTACATAGAATAGAAGCCTCAGGGCATTATGGCTTAACTCTCTGGCAGAATCCTGTTGAAAAGGGCTGAATGGGGTGTAAACAAAAATAAATAAACCTAGACATCCCTTTATTTTTTAAGGAAAACAAAAATCAGTCTTGTGGAATTCTAAAGGTAGCTTTGGTTAAATTGACACTAGAACCCTGTGGTCCTAACTACAGCTCAGTAGTCATTCTACTGCACAAAATCTCCTCCTAATTTTATTACCCTCTAAATACACACAGAGGAAATAAAAATATATAAAAGTTGCAAAATGTTACAAAGGGGATGGTGGTATCCCCTCCTATTCTAGGTCTCTGCCCCAAGCCCTACTTCTTGCTACAGATGTGTGTATCATACCTTGGCAAATGTATTAAGTCTGTAAGTAGATAAATGAAACCAACCATGTTGCAGAAAGGACAAAACAGGAAAGGTAGGTCATTAGCCTGAGGTCAGTAATGACATCTATATCAGCTGTCTTAACTATTCAGGAGTGACCCAACTCATTCCTTTTTGAATATGGCAGGCTTCTCAATGCCACAAATATTAGGTTGGCTTCTCTTATTGTATTTACTGAAGCTACTATTAATTAGCTATTTCTACTGACTCTGTAAAGTATTGAAAAATACTAAATTACAAGGACAATACACTACGTGGCCTTAGCACAATATTTCATTCAAGCCAAACCTTTCTTTTGCCCATTTGGGGCTCCTTGATACAATAGTTTCAAACTATCTAGCAAAAGTATTTTACAGGATTAAAGGAAATGAGAACCTTTTAACATTCTGTGGTATCAGAGCTGCCTTTTTAATTATTCATTTCATCACCATGGGGGACTAAAACATTCCACGGTATGCAAGAATATCATATGGAGATTGTTTTTGTTTTTCCCTTTTTTACCAAAATACCAACAAATAGGCATAGATTGTTCAATTACACTATATTCTTATTTTGATCTGCTGTACTTCAAAAGAAGAAAATTACAAACATGGATGCCTAAATAACTAATCTTGTTTTGGTTAGAATCCATTGCTTTTAAAAACCAGGAATTAAGAGTGTACATGCTCAGCAATACAGGAGAATTGAAGTTATCCAGAGTTGAAGGGTGGGCCCTATAAATGTCACTCTTTACCATTGGGATAGTAAAAACTGGTCATTGGGATGACTCTCTGGATGTAATTAAGCACATGATATGCTGAGTTTATAAAATGTTCTCTGATAGGACTGACTTCTGTTACAGAATGAAAAGACAACTTATTTCAAATATCAGAAATAGTTCCTCATGAAAATGACACAGCTGATGCTGAAAACTGAACTCTTTACACTTAAGTATCACTTTGAACAAAATGCTTTTAAATTCACACTTTGCTTTATTAAGAATTATTTTTAAATGCCTGCCATTGGTCTTTTCTCCTAATTTTTTATGGTTTGAAATTTTAAGTAAGCTGAATTTAATAAACTGTAATTTAGCCTGCAGGATCATCACTAAAATAACTGAACACCCAAAAAGGCCAATTCGTCTGAATGAGAAATTGCTTATTTTATGAAATTTTCCTCCAAAATATCAATAAACTGTTTTACCTTTTGTGGAATTTTTTTGTTAGTATTTTACATTACTAAGTACTATGCCATACTTTAAATTGGAAGATTCAAAGTTAATGAAACTGAAACACCTACTGTATCTGGATCAACTAACTAAAATATTTTTTACTTTATTATCAACTGTATAAAATCTGTACTTTAGCCAAATGCAAGCATGAGAATTTGAGCTGGAAATGTCACACACTCAGCTACAGTTTGAAGGAACCCAATTCATAATGCATTTTATAAATAGTTAATGACTTCTATACATAAGCTAACCAGGCAAATCAAGAAATTGTCAACATTTTTAGTCTTAGTTGTCAGTTACTACTGTCTACTGGTGCTTTATATGTGGCTTCTGGAGAAGACAGAAGCTCTCTGCAGTTTGTAATCTATTGCAATTTCAGGTCTGTACCATAAGGGTGGAAAAGCTTCAACTGACAATATGTGCCACACACACACACACACACACACACGCACACACACTCTCTCACATACAGAGTGTTAAATACAAGGGTATTCCTCACTTTTAGTTGTGTGTTTGTGTAAAGTTTATTCCTTCTAACTTATATATCTGGGTGGACAGAGAAATCTACAGACCAAATATGAACCCTAAAAAATAGGACAAATCAACAACTGATTGTTATCCCTAAGACATTAGATGCACAAAATGTCAATGGATTATTTTAAACTGATGACAAAAATGAGTCTTTGGTTAAGAAACTAAGAATTTCAGATGCCAAGCAGTTTTTGCACTTGATGAACACAACATTTGCATACTGATTGGCTGATTTTCTTAAAGCCAAGTTCAAACAGATACACTTGCTCAGTTCTCTCTGGAAATTTGGCTTGAAACAATCTATCTACTTGACCTTAACATTTCCCAACTGAACTGAATGTGTTCCTGGACAGGCACTGCTAAACTAGAAACAAAATGAATTAACTTAGCTTAAACTAATTAAGAACTGTGATCTGTGGTACCGCCTCCTGGATGAATCTACATGAGAAACAGGGTATAGGTAACCGGAATGAGGATTTCTAGCACTCACCACTAGCATAAGCATAACAATGAAGTTGGTTTATTACGAGAGCGTATATGAGAATTTAATTTCCATGGCGTGCACATGGCAAAGCAATTGCTTAAATTGCCTCACCTGGGAATTTAATACAATGTTATCATCAGACCAGCCACATTGTAAATAGATTTATAATGCTTTCCATGTGCTGCACTCTGTTGCATATGAATTAAGTAATGATCTGGTATTACAATAAAATCAGCTAGTTCCCACACCTGGCAGACAGGATATTTCACTAAATTAATACCCAAACAGCTACATCACAAGGCATGGGAGAGGAAACAATCTCTAAGGCATTGGACGTGAGTTTAACATGGGAGGCAAACACTCCATGGTTATGTAAAATGTTACTGTGTTGAATGGGCCGCTCAAGACAATCTGTTTCTAACATCTGTATTACCGAATTAAGACTTTCTCAGTTCCATTCAATTTTGGCCTGATTTTCTTCATTCAGTACTTTAATTACTAATCAGCAATCCACAACATTCACAAACACTAAGAAAGCCCTTTATTCTAATCTATGTGCTGCAGACAGCCAAATAATTGATACAAAGTGTACTATGGTTTTGGTAAGTAATGAAAGAACAGCTTGTCCTACTTCCTAATCAAATTGGTCTATAGAAGAAATGGTTACTGGATTTCTCCATAGGTCTAAAACAAATTACCCAGTCTGGCCAGACTTTTCCATTGCTTCTACCATGTCTTTCAGTTTCCCTATATTTAATAATGCCCCAGGTTACCAGGTGATACACCTATTAAAAACTGTTATGCTTTCATAGCCAAAGAATTTAACTGCTCTAAAGAATTTAACTGCTCCTGTTATAATTAACACTTTGGGATAGCTATAGAATACCATGAAATTATATTTATTAGCTAGTCATATAATTGCTGGCACTCATTTCTTACCTAATTTTATCT